CTTGATCTTCCTCGCCATCTTCATTGGCAGCTTGTCACTTCTGATTGTGATGGCTTTCCTGGTTATGCTCCTTAGTTGGTGTGGCTCCCTGCTTGCCTGGTGTGGCTGTGACTGCTTGCTTGGAAGTGTGGGCTTTCATTTTGCTTTCCTGGACACTGCAGTCTTTCTAGGAGGGAAAACCTGCTAACCCTCCTTTCTTGAAGTTTTGGCAGACATCTCTGGCCTTTTTTCTAAAGGATAGCAACCTTCTCTCTATTGGCCATCTTCGTCTTCGGATATTTCATCCTTCTTACTGACATTGTCTCCTTTGGAAGAGCAGCCATTTCCTTTATTTCTTGGTTTCTACCTGTAGTTGACATATTGTGACATGAGAGGGAGGTGGTGGGTGGTGATGGCTTGGGGGACCCAAGAAGAAGCTGAGCAGTGTTGATGCAGGCTGCAGTGCTGAGGATACTGTTATAAAACTGGAAAAGAGACTATTCGTTAATGCTAAGAATCATTTATAAGTAAGGTTAGAGGTATATTTTAACAAACTGGTTTTTGTCCAGTTTTGAATTTTAAGCATTTTTAGAAATTCAGTTTATATAATCACCTAATACTAGCACAGCTGAGCTTTTTCTTGATTGTTCTTAGCTTTTTTTTTTAAATTATTCTTGGCAATATTTATGTTTCCATTTCTGTTGTCTTGGGTCAGAGCTATTTTGATCACCAATTGGATTTTCTTTGTATTCTGTTCATTCCTATCTCCCCATAGTGCATTCTTTACCCAACTGCCAGATTGGTATTAAATTCTGCTCAGAAATCTTAATGTCTCTTATTACCCATAAAATGAAAATCCTATTTAGTATTCAAAAGCAGTAGAGAAATGCTTTATTTTAGACAGTGGCTTTCAAACTTTGTAAGAAATAATACGTTTTATACTGTGGCTTAGTATACACATACATGTATGCACACAACTGAAACAAAAGTTTCACAGAATAGAACCCCTCGTAAGTAGGATATACTCATATATATTCCGTTTCACTCTGCTGATCTCCATTTTTAAATGCTGAGTTTTATTCCATAAGTTGATTTCATAACTCATTAAAAGGTTATCTGGAGTTTTAAAGTACTTTTGTTGGATTAAAATAGCAGAGAGGGATGTCCTTTGGGGAAGGGATACTTCCAGAAGTGAAGAAAGGCGTTTCGTAATGGTGCTCTATGCTCCAGGTAGGTTTGTCTAACCAGGATGTCTTTACTGTATCCAAGCTGCCTACACTTCATCACCTCAGTATATTAACATGCACACTCCGCTTCTGTGAAGATGGACATGTGTGGGGGCTTTGCGTTGGCTCGCAGATTTAGAGGATAAAATCATCTTACCCTCCTAAAAATCTCCTAAATTACAAGTCAGTGCCAAAATGAGATCTCTAAAGATTGCTTCAGAATGGCCCCCATATCTTTTCCTCCACTTTTCTGTGTTCTCCTACCTGTGCCAGACCCAACTTTTTATCTCACAAGCTTACAAAATCTCTCTCAGCCGCTTAGCTCTTATTCTGCATTCTTGCACTAGTTGTCTGCGTAATATTTAGCACTTAGAATATACTGCTGTCATCTTTTCATAGGCATCTCCTGCCTTTCTAACTAATGAATCTGTTGAATCCGTATTTTTAAATATTCAGACATAGATTCACCAAAATATAATTTGAAAAAAATGTTCATGGATATACTGACCCAGCCACCCTCCTTCCCTCTGTGTTATTATTAGCAGTAATGGGTATTTACCTTTCAAAGAAAATGGTTGTAATTGAGTATCAGGAGGTATAATTTCTAACCCATTGGTTCATTTTATGTTTATGTTGTGTTATAACCAGATCATATATATTTAGAGATTCTAATCTGCAGCAGTTTGGAGCCAATGCTAGACTATTTTGTGTTTGAACTTACTAATGCTTATTTTATCTTTTCAAGGGCTACAAAACTTTACAGAGGAAGTGTGATTGCACTCTGCATTTCCAGTGTATTTTTCATGCTTCCTTGGCAGTTTGCTCAATTTGTGCTTCTTACTCAGGTGAGCTGATTATATTTTAAGCTGTTTTAAGCTTAGCATGTTTGACTGTGTGAACTCATTTGCATAAAATTGTAACTGAGATGTTCTATGATTCTGAGTCCTAAAACATTTTTAGAACATTTTTTAGAAATGTTGAACAGAAGAAAGTTCAGGGTAGAGAAATATGTAGAATTATTTATTAATGATTGTTAATTATTTACTTCCTAACATAATGCATTTATTGAACTCAAATTTGTAAGAATGCTTATCTTTGTTATTCAGTATTGTTAATGTGCTTAAAAGAGGACTAGTGCTATAACTTTAAGTATTTCTCTTAAGTTATCTATAGTATTTCTCTTACGTAAAATGTTTCTTTTATGAATAGTTGTGTACATTCTTGCACGTAGAATAAAGACACATAGGATTACAGGATAAATAGTTAACCAATTCATCTCTTATAAAATTCTCTCTGTCTGGAAATTTATCTATTGTCTTTCCATGTACTCTTGCCCACTATAAATGGAGGTCGTTTGTTGAGAGAGGGAGTGAATTACATACTCATTTTTTTCCCTGCCTACTGTTTTTTTTATTGTACCTGGTATATTTGTATAAAGCAGTTGAAGAGTTGCTTTTTTATTTTTATTTTTTCTGAGATGGAGTCTTGCTCTGTCACCCAGGCTTGAGTGCAGTGGCATAATCTCAGCTCACTGCAACCCCTACCTCTTGGGTTCAAGCGTTTCTCCTGCCTCAGCCTCCCAAGTAGCTGGGACTACAGGTGCGTACCACCACACCCGGCTAATTATTTGTATTTTTAGTCGAGATAGGGTTCACTGTGTTAGCTAGAATGGTTTTGATCTCCTGACCTTGTGATCTGCCCACTTAGGCCTCCCAGAGTGCTGGGATTACAGGTGTGAGCCACCGCGCCTGGCTGCTTTTTAATATTTTTTAGAACGTCTTGCTTGGAAATGAAGTTAGACTTGGATTTGAGTCCTAATTCTATTCAGTAACCTCTTAATTTGGATAAAATAGTTAACTTTTCTTAGTTTAGATTTTCTCATTTCTGAAATAGAGATAATAAAAGAACCTACTTTATAGGGTTGCGGATAGGACCAGATGAAGTAATGTATATGATTCTTAACACGGTACCTGGTACTCAGTAGGTGTCAGTAAAGTTAGTTGGTTTTATCATTATTTTAAAAAATAGGCTTTATTTGTACTTACTTTTTATTTTGATCTTGTCTTGTAGACTCGTTTGTGTAACTTAGTTTGATGACATTTTCAATCAGTTTCTGGTTTAAAATTGTCTCTGAGATTCTGTCTTTAAAATTCCACCCTGTAAATGTACTGTGTGTTGCTTAGCCCTTGGGGTGAAAAGGGAGCATTCTCATTGCTTCCTGATAGTGGACACCGCCTGCTTTTCTGTGGAGGTGAAGGTCCCTGTGGGGCTTATGTTGAATAATAACACACACTTCCGCACAGTTGGTATGTCATATCAGGCACCCCAAGAAATGCAGTATTCTCCATGGATAACTCTGAATAAAGGAAAACTGTTGTTTTTCTCACTAATGGAAAAATTTGTTGTAGATTGCTTTAGAGATAAAAAACTTGATGAATGAAACTTAAGTTATATGTTTATTTTGCAATCTGTTTATGCTATGCTTTTGTAGTAGGACAGGGAGAATTTAATTTGAGTTGCTTTCTCTATGAGGAAGGGTGTAGAGGCATTGTCTGACATATTACCTCTGTGTAAGAGGTACTGTATAATCATTTAATCAATTAATTCATCTAAATAATTCCAGTACTCTTAGAATTAGTGATATATAACATACAGTTTTCTTTCAAATAGAAAAGAAAGTTAAAAATACCTTTGCAACAAAAGTACTCTTGATATGAAATTGATAAATTTGATTATAACTAACTCTTGGATATTTGTATTAATGAAAGAACGCTAATAGAGATACTTGTAAAGAGCTAATAGAGACTAGCAAGGAGAAATTAAAGTATTTTTATGCACACATGCATTGCATAATTATTTTTCAGTTTAAGGTACCTTCCCCAATTATGTATTAGTTATCATATTATAATTACGTTTTCTTATTTTTGATTGGACAAAGCACTTTTTAATTGTACGTATTGACAGTAGGGTTGACCTGAAATTAAAATGAGTATTGTTTTGGATGATCGACAAAGTAGACAATTCACATGATTGAGAGAGCTGTGTATCAGAGAGAAAAATCAACCAATATTTTCTATACTAATATATTGACTATATTTAATAATAAATTGGCAGATAAAAGGAAGACAAAAGAACTCACTCTGTGTGTATATATAAATCAGTTGAAACAACAATAAATATATTCTTCATTCTTGTAGCTATTCATTTTATCTTTTTTACTTTTAATTTCTTTTTAAATTTCAGATTGCATCATTATTTGCAGTGTATGTTGTCGGGTACATTGATATATGTAAATTACGGAAGGTCATTTATATACACATGATAATAATTTTTTATTGTTCTCTTCCATTTTTTGCCCTTAAACTCCTTATTAATATTTGATTTATTCATGGTTGAAACTAGTTGTAACAATTTCATGACTAAAACAAATGTTGTTCAAACATTGTGATATAATCAACAGACCTTGTTTTGATAGACCACTCACAAAAATTTAATTTGGGTCATATTATCTGATTGAAGTTGTGCCCAACTTAATGCATTATCAGTAAAAGAAATAATTTATGAAACAGAAACATGGGATTGATATATTATCTAGGAGCTGTCTGTTAAAATGAAGTAGAAGGGCCCAACATGGTGGCTCACGCCTGTAATCCCAACACTTTTGAGAGGCCAAGGTGGGGTTCACTTGAGGCCAGGAGTTTGAAACCAGCCTGGGCAACAGAGCCAGAGCTCATCTCTACAAAAATACAATAAAATTAGCCTAGCATGGTGACACATGCCTGTAGTACTAACTGTTTAGGAAGCTGATGTGGGAGGATTGCATTAACCCAGGAGGTTGAGACTGCAGTGAGCTATGATCATGCCACCGCACTCCAGCCTGGGCAACATAGCAAGACCATGTCTCTACAAAAAAGAAAAAAAGTTCATTTACTGAGTGTCAACTATCCAGGCATGTGGAACAAACCAGCATTCATATTACTACATTCTGACAGCATGGGGGAAGGAGGGAAGACAGAAGATAAATAATAAACATAGTAAATGGGTAAATTTATGTAGGATGTTAGAAGGTGATAAGGATTTTAGGCCAGGCATGGTGGCCTGGGGAAGTTGAGGCAAGAGGACATTTGAGCCCAGGAGTTTAAGACCAGTCTGGGTGAGACCCCATTTCTATAAAAAAATGCAAAAAAAGATTTTAGAAGAAAGAAAAGGTCAGGGTAAGGCAAATAAGGAGCACCAGAATCAGGGGGTAGGAGATGGAAAAATCAAATGAGGTGGTCAGGGCAGGTCTTCTTGAGAAGGGGGAGTAGAACAGAGATTGGAAGAAGGAGAAGGAGTTAACCGAGTAGATATGAAAGAAACTGATCTCTAGGTTGGTGGAACAGCTAGAACAAAGACCCTAAAGCCGGTTGGTTGATGTTCTTGAATGGTTATCCTTTAAAAACAAACATTTGTCCTCTCTTTCATTAGTTTTTATAATTTTGATGTTTTCTTTTCCTGATAATTTTACAGTTGTCATAATATCCCATTTTCATTTTCTTAATAATTTGTACATATAAAAGAACATTTATAATGTGTAAGGAAGTTATAAACACAATCATAAAATAAACAACTGGGAGCCTATTCTCCAAATGGAAAATAGAACCTTATCGTTACTTTTAAGTCCTGTATGCCCTGAGCTCATCCCCTCACTGCTCCTAGAGGTAACCACTACTCTGACTTTTTGAATTGTAATCAATTTGCTTTTCTTTATAAGTTTACCATATGTGGATTACTAAATAATATATATTTTTATTAAATGTTCACATTCTTTGTATTTATACAAATGGCATTATTTTATAAATACTATTTTTTCACTCAGATTTCTGCTACTTATATGTAGCTAGAATTCAAATATTTTCACTGCTTTATAGTTTCCATCATATAAATAAAGGATAATTCATTTATTCATTTTCTTGTTGAAGGACATTTAGGTTCTCTCCTCTCCCCCCCAACTTCTTTTTTTAGTTACAAATAATTCTGTACATTCTTCACGTATCTCCTAGGGCACATACGTTGAGAGTATCTCTAGGTTGTTTTACCTAGTAGTAAACTTGTTGGGTGGTAAATTATGTCCATGTTCCACTTTATAAATACCAAGTTGTTTTTCTAAAATGATTGGACTACTTCCAAAAGCAATGTGTCATTCAAATAGCAGCTTATGTTATTCTACATCCTTTTTTATTTTATCAGTCTTGTTCGTGTAAAATGGTATCTTGTGACCTTAATTTGCATTTTCTCTGATTCATAATGAAGCTGAGCATCTTTTGGTATGTTTATACGCCCTTCATGTTTCCATTGTTGTAAATTCCTATTCAGATCTTTTACCAGTTTGTCTTGTGTCCAAAAGAAAACGACATCTATTTTAGTCAGTACAGTGTAATACATTATTTTTGTTATTTATGTTGATGCTCAAATTGTTCCACACTTGTCCAACTATTCAAGCTGACTTCTCTTTCCTTTTGACATGTCCTCATCATGCTTTGAGCACTTTTAAAAAGAAATGAATAAATGTTAAATTTCATGAAATGCTTTTCTATATCTGTTTAGATGATTCTATGTATTTCCCCCTACTTTAATCTGTTACTGTAATGAATTAACATTAATTAATTTTCTAGCATTAAATAAACTTGCTTTTCTGGGTTAAACACAATTTTTGCATGTTGCTGGATTCAGTTTGCTGTTATTTTTATGGATTTTTACATCCTTGTTCATGAATGAGTTAGACAGTAATTATATATTTTTTAGACTTGGCTTATTTTTTCCCAAACTATTTAAAATAGTTTTTTTATTTTGTAGTATAAATCAG